CCCCCTCAAGGGAGGAGGGGATAAGAAGAGAGGCAGCCTAGAGGAGAGCCAGAAAGAGGAGCTGGTGAAAGAGACTGGGGGGGACAGCATGGCTTTGGGGACTGGGAAAGAAGGAATAATCAAGACAGAGCAGGCAGAGGCTGCTGGTGAGGACTGCAAGGGGCGGGAAGAAGCTGGATCTTTCAGCGGCCATGTTCATACCAGCAAAGATGCCCCAGCGGCTCAGCTGCCTGGTGGATTTGGAGCGCAGCATTCTCAAGACGTGAAGATCCCACTGACGCTCCATCCAGTACCCTCTGGGGCCAGGATCCAGTTTCAGGGACCTCCGCCTTCTGAGCTGATCCGAGTAACTAAAGTACCCCTTGCCCAAGTGCCCCTTAAAATGCAATCCTTACTGGAGCCTTCAGTCAAAATTGAAACTAAGGATGTGCCCCTCACAGTGCTGCCCTCTGATGCAGGTATTACTCGATGGCTGTGGAATTGGAACTTCCAAGGCTGCCACAAATGTTGCCCCATAAGTGGAATTGTAGCAATTAGAAAACACAAGTGGAATGCTGTTGAACTATGGGCCTTTCTATGTCAACTTGTATCAATATCATTTCCGCCTGCACTGAGAGTGTAAACATACAGGGTCACATTCAACCCAGGTTTTACAGGGTCTGTTGATGTCCGTTCTGACTTTAGACCCCTGTAGCTACTATCGGATTTTTAACTAGAAAACCTAAGATTTTCAAGAATAGGAGCCTGAAAGCAGTTTTTAAAGTCCATGTTTAGGCACTGGCCCGATTTTGAAAGTGCATGGGACCCCAACGCCTCTTGTAGACGTTAACACTTGAAAATGATGCTAATTCCGAAGCATGGCATTTAAAGACTGCTTTTAGGCTCCTATTCTTGAAACTCTTGGTCTTAATCTTTAAGAATGGTTTTAGGAGCTCAATTGTAGCCTTGAAAATTAATGATTTCTTTTTAAGTGATGTCCTACTGGCCAACAGACCTTTCTCCTTTCATTGATAATGCAGAGCTTAGATGATGTGTGTATTTAGTAATACCATTCATAGAGGGACTGCTTGCGAAGGGAATTGGTAGTAGAGTGGAAATCATCCACTTTTTGGTCCTCGTTTCAAATCCAGCCCTGTTAATTGTGATTCGAAATAACTGGTAAACCTCATTGTCTGAGGAATAAGGGTTATTTCAGAAGAAGGGTGTTCTCCCGAAATAACCGCATCCACACCGCATTTTGTATTTCGAAATAGCGCCATAATGCGATTATGCAAATGAAGCGTGGGATATTTAAATCCCAGCTTCATTTGCAATTTCAAATGTCTTCATTTGTATCCCTCTCTCAAAAGAGGGTGCAAGTGTAGACGTACCCGGAGTCCTTCCAGCAAAGGTATCCAGATCACAAAAAACATTTAGCATCTTCTGGAAGACTTAGCAGAAAAGCTGAGAATTGAATGGCAATGGAACTGAACTACCATATTACCCCTGAATGTGGTCCCTACAGGGTCAGGGCTTAGGTACATTACTGTTGCAGTATGCATAAACTTGCACTGATACTATGGCACCTTTATAAAAATATGCATTACATAACACAATAATTAGTTAAATGAAAACAAAACACCTACCATTTTTATTATGGTGAAATTAGTTCTGATCTTTGTGAAAGGATAGAGAGAGAGAGACTATGTAACACTAGCTGATGCTGTAATGTTAAATATTTCAGAGGGATAGCCGTGTTAGTCTGAATCTGCAAAAATGATGAGTCCTGTGACACCTTAAAGACTAACAAATATATTGGGCATAAGCTTTCATGGGTAAAAACCACTTCATTAAATGCATCATGCATCTGGCAAAGTAGTTTTTACCCACAAAAGCTTATGCCTAAATATATCTATCACTCTTAAAGGTGCCAAAGAATTTCTCAGATATTTAAATTATTCTTTATGTGGCATTTCACTTGTGGCTAGTCGTTACTCCATTATACTCTTAGTGGACATTTAAATGTTTTTTCCAGAAGCAATTCTCCAAATATATATGGATTCTTTCTTCAAATATAATCTATGGCAACATTGCATGTGCTGTCTGTCTAATAATTTTCTTTCCCAATTTGTGTTATATAGGGATACCAGATACTCCATTTAGCAAAGATAGAAATGGCCATGTAAAGCGCCCAATGAATGCATTTATGGTGTGGGCAAGAATTCACCGGCCAGCACTAGCCAAAGCTAACCCAGCTGCCAATAATGCAGAAATCAGCGTCCAGCTTGGATTAGAGTGGAACAAACTCACTGAAGAGCAAAAGAAGCCCTATTACGATGAAGCTCAAAAGATTAAAGAAAAGCACAGAGAAGAATTTCCTGGTAAAAAAAATGCATGTACTTCCTTAGACCTGCGTGCTTTAAAAGTTTAGGTGACCCCAAAAAAGTTGACTTTATAAAATACTCGTGGACAAGTGCAGTACTCTGCATGGACTCATACAGATAGATGCCATTAGAGGGGGAAATGGCAGACAGAGAGCTGTGTGATTGGCAATACATCCAGTACAGTAGGATTGGAAAAGGAAAGGCCATATAGGAAATAAGGGTCAATATGCTGAATGAGAAGTAATCCTGTGTGGAGGTGGAAAAGAGGAGGTTTCTCAACTTCTAACGTTTGGTTCTTGGAGCACTGTATTCTGAACTTTGAATTCCCTGTGGTTCTAGAGTTATTTATTCTTTCAATTTAATATTCATTTAAGGCATTTTCCTAAAAATTAATGTTATCAGATACTATGGTGACAAGAGCCATAGAAATGCTATAAATAGATTAAATACATGTTTCAGCCTCAGCTGTGGACTAACAGTTTCCAGTCTGGGAGTAATAATTCAAATATTAATAGCATCCAATATTCATATTAAAATAAATCTATACCTATAACACTAATTATAAGTTAGATTATTAAAGTTGAAAGAGTTTTTCAAATATAATTTACCATTCTCTGGTTATTCTGTTTCTTAGTATCTTTTCACTCAGATTGGGCAAAAAAAATTAAACTAGTGAGTTTCACTTTGTTTCTCATGTACAAATATAATTCTGCAACTTTTAGGTTGCAAAGCTGCAAGGGAATGTTAATGCCAAACATAAATCTGAACAAAAATATCTATTTTCATTGGAAACACATTCATTTTAAATTGAATTAGCACCATTAAATTGAATTGAAATAGCAGGAATACCAAATGGCTAATTCATCCCTTCTTCCTCTAGTTTTAAGATGTGTACATTACACTATTGTAAGTAATCCAGAAGTAAATCAAGACTCAAATCTGGTTTTCTGTGTTTGGTTGGAGGACTTGTTTGAGATCTGAAATGTGGAATGAGACTTTTTTCAGCCTTTAACTGAAGACGGCAAGGTAATGGGGTCCTTAACAAAGCATTTTTCTCCTGTGTAATTTAAACAGGTGAAAAAACAGAATAAAAATCACTGAAATATAAAGTGTTACACACTTTGTATCTGTGATGTCATAATCCTTGTTCTCCAGACTGTGACAGAGTATTCCAGAATAAACAAGATCTGAATTTCTTATGTCAAAAACAAATAGAAATCAGAACACTAATATTAAACAATTCGAAACATTAAGGCCTTCTTAATCATGAAACAAAAAAATCAAAGCTCCTTAATGAAACCTAACAAGTAGAAATGACCTACCATTATCTTTACAAGTTTGTTTCTATTTAATTGGTGTATGTATCAGAAACAAACCTAGTTCTGCCTGCAATAATAAATGCACAGTTCTCACTGGGTCAGGTTCTTCCTTAACTATTACCTCTCTGCAGTTTCACTGGTGTAAATGAAATTTTCACAGGTGAGAATTAGGGAGCCAGTGAGATTATAAATCCAGAGCCATAAATTTAACCTTCCATATTTTTTCAAAATAAAGCTCAGGCTCCACTGCCATTTTCTCCTTTTCCCTCCCTTCATAATATGTTGTTAACTTATGCCACAGTGACCCCTCTGATTTTTTGATCCTGGATTTCCTTCAGCAGTCGCTTAATATCATATTTTAAGATCAAAAGAATGCAAGAATGTGCCAGTTTCATCATATTCTGATGTGCTCAGTCTGCCACTATTTTGAAGTGAATGGGAGTTTGCTGTTGGCTTAACTGGAAGAGGATTTGTTCTTGTGGAGCCATACAAACTTTTCAGAAATGTGGGTGTTGTAATTTTTCACGTCTTGTTACAGTGAAAGAAACCAGCCCACACGTATGTGAAACCTGCCTTAAGCTTTCTCATTTACTCTTCTGCAGGCTGGGTTTACCAACCACGACCAGGCAAAAGAAAGCGCTTCCCGTTGACTGTCTCCACTGTCTTTTCTGGCACCTCTCAGAACATCATCACTACAAACCCAACCACAATTTATCCTTTCCGATCACCCACTTACTCCGTTGTCATTCCAAGTGTGCAGAACAGTATTGGACATCCTGTCTGTGAGTTTGTTTCATTAGTTTTGGTGAATTCAAGAATAAGAAAACTGTATCCTGCGTAAGGTCAAGAATAAGCCAGCATAAGCGTGTTTAAAGCAACAATCGAGTGGCAAAAATGCTTAAGTGGATAAGGTGAAGTTTGTCAGAAAAAGTGTCACAGGGAAAGATGTTAACAGTGTGAGTGGTACATTTAGCCATATCTAAACTTGCAGGTGCAGTTTTGCACACAATGTTCTAGATGTACGGTGTTTTCACAGCCACAATTTTGCATGTATAACAACTCATAGAATCATAGAACATTAGAACTGGAAGGCTATGTCTACACTGGCGGGTTCTTGTGCAAGAACATCTTGCACAAGGGTTCTTATGCAAGAACACGTCCACACTGCCATGTGCTTTTGTGCAAGAGCATCCATGGCAGTGTGGATGCTCTCTTGCACAAGAAAGCTCTGATGGCCATTTTAGCCATAGGGCTTTCTTGCGCAAGAAACCCCTGCTGCGCATCTACACTGCCTTCTTGTGCAGAACTCTTGCACAAGAGGGCTTACACTTGTTAGACAAGAGCATAGCTCTTGCGCAAGATTCCCTCTCTTACCATGCTTTACTGTAAATCTTCTTGCACGAGTGTGGACGCTCTGCGGAAGAATGGCCATTCTTAAGCAAGAACCCACCAATGTAGACATAGCTGAAGGGACTTCCAGAGGTCATCGAGTCCAGTCCCCTGCTCTCATGGTAGGACCAAGCAGCAACTGAGCATAACTCAGTTATGTACACAACTGGAGTAATTATGTATTTAACTAGCTAATTTGCATACTGTTGTAACCATGTTAGTCCCGGGATATTAGAGAGACAAGATGAATGAGGTAATAGCTTTTATTGGACCATCATCTGTTGGTGAGAAAGACAAGCTTTTGAGCTTACATAGAGTCCTTCATGTCGTGAACAATAAAACCTCCATATAAGCTCAAAAGATTGTCTCTCTCACAACAGAAGTTGGTCCAATAAAAAATATTACCTCACCTGCTTTATCTTTCTAATTTGCAAACACACATACAGTTTGAATACACATATCCATGTTTCTGCACACACCGAAAGCTGGCTCTGAGAAGCATGTCAGAAAAGTGGATGTGCAGCATTGTACTCCCCTTATTTAATCTGGGTTGAGGCGTCTTTTTAAAGTGGGGACCTATCTGATCAGTTAAAGAACATATTCCATGCAGGTTAACCCCTTGACCTATGGTCCCACATATCATTTAAGCAGTTTTAGCAGTGCTTGAACAGAAGATTTTTGGAGAAAGCCAAGCATGCCTCAAGAAGGAGTTAACAATTGTATAGGTAGCCCCCTTTCTTCTGCCTCGGTAGCGATCCGTTGTCCCAGTATGGATATGGAAGTGCTGGAGATGCTATCTTTCATGTAGGAAAACAAAGGCCATGAGCATTTATGGTCATTTATGTAATATTCAGACTATTACATGTAATAACACCACTGTGTTCTGATTAAATTCTACCTTGAATAACTTCATGTTACCTGCCTAAATTCCCTCTGTAGTCTTCATTGGATATTGTATTCTGCTTTTCCTGATCTAAACAATTGTACAGTGTTGTGATGCCATCTAGAATACCTACTCTGTTTTATCCCAGAGGTGTCTATACTTTAGTTGTAGTTGAAGTGATTCCTGTATATGTTGTTGTAAAGCACAACATTTTCCACTGACTTGGGATTTAGGCTCTGAAGTCACTTAGTCACGTTTGAAAATATCCCCCAAAATGCATTGGAATCAGTCTGTAGAAAGGGCACACTCTAAAATGATAACTTTGTCATAAAAATGTTACAGAAACATGTCTGTGGGTATCCTTTTACAAAACAAATGAAAAATTACAATTTGGAGGCAGTTTGTTGTTTCCATCTGATTCTGTTTCTGTGGTCACAGTAGAATTGAGCAGGTTTACATCAGCTGAGAGGGTCAGTACAGAATCTGCCTGGGGACTTTGCTTTGTCTGTCTTGTTCTCATTCTATGGCTATGTATAGACTACAGGTTTTTTTTTTTTAAATTGGCCTTTTTTTAATAAAACGTCACTTGCGTCTAGACTGCCGCCGCGTTCTTTCAAAATTAAATTGAAAGAACGTGGAGGTTTTTTCGACAGCAGTAAACCTCATTTCACGAGGAAGAACACCTTTTTTTCGAAAGAGCTCTTTCGAAAAAAAGCATTATTGAACACAAACAGGGCTTTTTCGAAGGAGAGCATCTAGATTGCCTGGGTGCTCTCTTTTGAGAAAGCGGTTTGCTTCTTCAAAAAAAGTGATGGCTGTCTAGATGATCTCTTTCTAAAGAAACTTTTTCAAAATGAAAAAGCTTCTTTCGAAAGAAGAGTGTAGTCTAGACGTTCCCTATGTGTAGTTAGCTAATGTGGTACTTATCAAAGGCTGTTATTGGACCCTTTCCATTCATAACTGATCAATAATCATTTCTGTTTCCAAAAGGTGAAGCCCCTTCTACTATCCAGCTTCCAGCTCCTTCCATTCAACATCCAGGTCCAATTACACTTTTCCAGCCGAGTGTTGGAAGCACCACCCCAATGGCTGTTCCAGCTCCAAATCTGCCTCTTCACCCTGTAATTCCACCACAGCGATTTGCTGGACCTGTGCAGACAGAAGCTCATCATGTACCTTCCGGATCAAATTGTTCTGTAAAGAGACCTACCCCAGTTTGCATTGAGAGCTCCAGCAGAAACCCAAGTAACGCCAACACCACTCACTCCAGATTTCCTGTCTCTACCAGTCAACCCCCTAAGGAGTACTCAGGTGTTTCTACTTGTCCTAGAAGTGCACCAATTCCCCAGGCTCCTCCCATTCCTCACTCACATCTCTATCAACCTCCTCCCATTGGTCATCCAGCCACTCTCTTTGGAGCTCCTCCTCGATTTTCGTTTCATCACCCTTACTTCTTACCCGGACCCCATTACTTCCCATCAAGGTAATGAAGCCATTCCTTTACATTCCAGTGAGAGCCTGTGTGTGTAAAGGGTCAATTAAACCTCCTGCTTATAGAAGGAGTGCAAGAAACAGCAGGCTGGATCAATGACTCTCTGCTCAGGAATGGGAGGCTGGGGGTGGGAGGGGAGTGGGCTTGGAGCTATTGGTAGTTGGGTACAACTCAGAGCAGCCTCAGGCTGACAGGTCTCAAAGCTGGGGATCTGTTAAGGTGGCATTACACTAACAGTAAATAGAAGTGCTTGCTTCCCCTCCCAACCATCCAAGTCCCAGCAGTTCAACTGAATTCAACAAAAATATATTGAGTAAAAGTCACGGAAATAAAAAAAAATCAGATAGAATTAGAACTGGGCAAGCATTTGAGCTAGTTACACAGCACGCCAAGTTCCTTGGTGGGTTTGGCTATGAAAAGAAATAGTGCTGAAGTCTGACCCAATGGAACGAGCCCTGGGGATGACATAGCAAATAAACCCTAGTACAGGCAGTCCCTGGGTTACATGGATCTGACTTACATCGGATCCCTACTTACAAACAGGGTGAGGCAACCCCGCACTAGCTGCTTCCCCCCAGCAGACCAGGGAGACGCGGAGCGGCTTTTCTCAGCAGACACCTCAGCTTGAGAATAAAGGACTGAGGGAAGTGAGGTGTGGGAGAATAAAACTGAGCTCTGGAGAAATGTTTGGCTAGAGTTTCCCCTACAATATGTACCAGTTCCGACTTACATACAAATTCAACTTAAGAACAAACTTACAGTCCCTATCTTGTACGTAACCCGGGGACTGTCTGTATAGCATCTGCACTTTTGGATTAGTCAGCTGGTGAACAGCAACTTGAACCCAAAACTCTTGTGTCTGCACACCCCCATTACAGTATACGGTTCTGACTAAGCTGATCACATGCAGAGAGACTGTTATGAGTTCAACAGTGACTCTGTGCAGGCTCCAGTGTCTTGGAAGAAGCCAGCTGAGCAACATCCAATGTGCTGTTCAGATACAAAGGACCTGGAAGCCAGCTAGTGTGCAGAGATCCATGAAAAGAATACACAGGGCACAAAGTCTGTGTCACTTGGAACAGGGATAAGCGAGCTCAGTGTTCATTTTTACAGCTTACGTTTTATGAGTGAGTTCAGTGTTCATTTTCCTGGCTTACATTTTGTAGGTAGCCAGTTTCCTAGATTTGATTTTAGAGAAATTTCAGGCTCACAAATTATTGTAAAAATTACTCTCCAACAGGAGATGTGTAAAGATTTGGGGCCACATTCTGCCCTGACTTACCACACTCTCCTATTGATTTCAGCAGAATATGCCTTCACAAAGAAGAAGTCAGGGCAGTATATGACCCAAGAACGTGGGAATACTTTATTGACAGATTGTATCTGGAATACAAGTCTGTTTGTGGGAATTTGTTACTTTCAAAAGCCTTAAACAACAGCCTTGGGTTACCATCATTTGGAGAACACACATTGGTGCCTTCATGTTGGCCACTACAGACGATCTAGGCTTTGGCCTTTTGTGACCATCATTAGACATGAGCAGTTTGGGTTGTTTTGTTGTTTGCTTATATCATAGCAGTCTGTTGTGTGTTCTAACAAAAACTGGGCTTTGAAAAATTACATACCCCACCATGGGAATGTTAAATTTAGATTAATCAACTAATTGATGGAATTTCCATTGACTAGTCGATAAGTGGGGGAGCCACAGCGGGGCTAGCTCCCGGCCCTGGGAGCTCATCCCATTGCAGCTCTGCCTTTTAAATGTATTAAGAGCTGTCAGGCTCTTAATACATTTAAAAGACTGAAGCGCAGCGTAGGGGACCCATCGCGAGCCAGGACAGCTGATTCCCCCAGCACCGGCACCCGGCTCCCGCTCCCCCTACTTTCCCCCCCACCTCTCTCTGATAGAGGCAGCAACAGTCGGGGGGAAACAACTATTTGAGGGACTAGTCAACTATCCGATAAGCTTATGCTTATTATGTTTATTGAATAGTTGACTAGTCGACTAGTCACTGCATCCTCACACACATCTCTGACACAAACTCATCTGCAAGTTCAGTTCTGTGGGATTTTTGTTTTCCTGGAAACAGTTCATCTTTTTTATGTAGCACTGTTTGTGCAATGTATGTGTGCAAAATTGTATGCTTAAAAATTAGTGGGGGTTGAAGAAATGTATGGAAAGACGTCTTGACTGTGTTTGTACAAGCTGCTTTTGGGACCATATCCATGTGCTCACTTAAGACATAACTAGTACCATGAAAGCCTGGATCTGCATTGTACCAATACATATCTTTATAGTATCATTAGAGAAGGGGTCTGTTGTTCCGTATACTTCAATTAATCTACAGCACTGTACATGTCTATTACATTGTATGCATTGTAAAACGCTTGGACATTCAGTCAAGATAAAAATGCAGTCGGTAAGCAGTTGTTTGGGGAGATATTTCTTATCATCTTGTATGGAATTTCTCACTTTCAGCTGCCAGTCACACAATGCCTACTCATATATCCTGATGGGGCACATATGCAGCTCTCAGTGTGTTATGTGAGTGGCAGCCACTCAATGTATACTCTCAGTCTGGCGCTGAGGATGTTCCATGGGTCGCAGCCATGTGCCGATTGGACTGCAGGTTGATATCCCATCCTCCATGAACTTACCCAATTCTTTTTTTAACCCAGTTATGCTTGCGGCCTTCACAGCCTCTCCTGGCAACATAGTAAACATGAGGGCAGGATTCCCGGACAGCCTTCCTTTCTACTAATAATCTAGCAGCTGCAAGACGTGTTCTAACGAAATAAAAGGAATTGTTTTTAGTCTGTTTCCCACTCTGCTATGAATGGTGGCCTCAGAGATCTCATAAACTGGCTTAGAACGTAAGAATGGCCACACTGGCTCAGACCAAAGGTCCATCTAGCCCAGCGTTCTGTCTGCCGGCAGTGGCCAATGCCAGGTGCCCCAGAGGGAGTGAACAGAACAGGGAACCATCACGTGATCCCTCCCCTGTCGCCCATTCCCAGCACCTGGCACTCCAGAGGCTTGGGGACACCGCGGAGCCTGGGGTTGCACCCAGGACCATCTTAGCTACATCCTCCGTGAACTTAATTCTTTTTGAACCCAGTTATGCTTTTGGCCTTCGTAGCATCGCCTGGCAACAAGTCCCACTGCTTGGCTGTGCTATGTGATGAAGTATTTCCTTTGGTTTGTTTTAAACCTGCTGCCTGTTCATTTCATTGGATGACCCCGGTTCTTGTGTACTGTGACAGGGTAAATGACACTTTGCCGCCACACTGTTGGTGAGTTTATAGAGCTCTGTCAGATCCCGTGGTGATTATGATGCTTAGTTTTACTCTTTTCAGTGTTTGCGAACATGCTTGCTAGCTTGTAGGACACTATTCTATCTGTGGCATGATTTATATTAAGAAATAAAAGTTGTGTTTTTTTAAGCAGCTTCTTGGGCGTATCCATCAGCAACAGAGCTGCATATGTAGGTTAGTGTCTCTGTCATAGACCTTGGGTGTGACTCTCCTTGTATAGAGGCGGGGTGCAGTTGGTAGAGGTTGGTGTGCGTAAGTAGCTCACTACTGGATGAATTGGCTAATTCAGATCATTCAGGTAACTTTCATCCTCAGGCCTCAATAGAAATGCAGCCAGTCGTACGTAGTCCTTATGCTTTACAGCTTATCACCATAGCAAAAAGTTTGATTTTTCATCTTTTGATCTCTTTCTCTGCAGCACGTGTCCGTACAGCCGCCCTCCGTTTGGCTATGGGAATTTCCCGAGTTCCATGCCCGAATGCCTGGGCTTTTATGAAGACCAGTATCAAAAGCACGAGGCTATGTTTTCTGCCCTGAATAGAGACTATCCTTTCAGGGAGTACCCCGATGAGCGTGCACACAGTGAAGACTCCCGTAGCTGTGAGAGCCTAGAGGGAGTGTCTTATTACAACAGCCACAGTGAGGAAGAATATTTAACTCCCATGCCACAGTTAGATATTGGAGCCTTGGAGAACGTTTTCACGGCAACCCCATCCACCCCCTCCAGCATCCAGCAAGTCAATGTGACTGACAGTGATGAGGAAGAGGAGGGGAAAGTGTTGAGAGATTTGTAATTATTAACCCAGATGATAACCATCCCTAGGAGTATTTTAAAATATTAAATAAACGTTTCAGTCCAAGAATATCTTTTTAGTCAGTGTGTTCAAGGAGAAACCCAAATCACCTTGGTGATAACGGCAAATTGTTGGAAGAACTCAGATCATCCTGTAGCATTTCGGGAGGCCAGACATGGAACTGGGGCTGTTACTGAAGTCGCTGGGTTTTCACCTGCTCACACAAGGCCTGGATTTAGGTCTGGAGTCACAAGAGCATTCCTCTTCAGGAAAGCATTAAAACGTGCTTAGCTTTAGACCTGTGCTTAAGCGCTTTTCTGAATAGGAACATGCTTAAGTGCTGGCTGGAATCAGGACCTTAGCTGTCTTTGTTCCAGGACTTGTGTTCATTTTGGCAGCTTTACTTTAGGAATTTTAGCATGTGAAATAATTCTCTTCCCGTGTCACAGATTCATGAACAAAATGTAAGGCTGGATGCAATAAAATGCACTGACAGCTAAGGACTGGGGTCTGAAATAATTCCCCTATGCTTTCAGATTTGCCCTTTGGCTACCATGAGATGTTTATTTAGCAACATAATTTAGTTTGTTTTTCTATATAATCTGTATTTTTGCTGAAAATTGTTGTGTAATACATTGGCTATGTAGGCTCCAGTTCTACCACCCCTACTCACATTCAATTGTATCTTACTGTGCCAGAGTCGCATTGGTTTAAATGGGGACAGTTTGGACAGCAAGGTGCTATTAGTGGGAGTGGGGGTGACAGAATCTAGCCCCATGAAATAACTTATACTAGTGGACTATGAGTTGATCCCTGAGTATAGTTAATATTAATATTTATACAGTATATATTTTACATTTGTTAGCTCGAAAATGTGTCTCCACTGAACTGTAAGAGTAGATGAGATACAGATTTTGATTGCCAAAACTAGTAATTCATGTCACTAAACGATTTTTTTCCTTTTCTTCCCATTTCTTTCACGGGGTATCCCGTTGTTCTGCTTCTGTTCTGTTTCAATAAAGTCACATGAACTGCGTGGTGTTAGTGCTGTATGTTACAACGACAAGCTTTACGGTGTGCATAGTCATCAGCCTTACAAAGAGGACCTGAGACCCCTGTATGATCAGAACTCACATTTTAACCCTTTGCCCATGTTCCTTGTTTAGCAGATAAGGAAATCAGACCTATTGCAAACTGAAGGCCCAATGAAAACAAGGGGGACATTTATCATTGACCCAAGTTGGACCACCCAGGCTGGAGGTGCAGGAGCTGCTCTAGGAATCCTGTAGCAAGCAGGCCTAGAGGATGTGTGGCCAGGCGTGCTTTACGGTTATTCTGCAGCATTCCCTTTGAGGAGCCGGCTGCTCTCTTAGCCATCCCATTATGCCTCCGTGGCCGAGGCCCAATGAAAACAAGGGGGACATTTATCATTGACCCAAGTTGGACCACCCAGGCTGGAGGTGCAGGAGCTGCTCTAGGAATCCTGTAGCAAGCAGGCCTAGAGGATGTGTGGCCAGGCGTGCTTTACGGTTATTCTGCAGCATTCCCTTTGAGGAGCCGGCTGCTCTCTTAGCCATCCCATTATGCCTCCGTGGCCGGGACTGGGTACTTCTGCATCTCTTTGTGCTCTCGAGTGTAGTGAAAGGATCCCAACCTGCTGCCTGGCGGGAGAGAAGAGGTGTCCTGTGCCCTCTGCCCTGCCCATCCCTGGGCACTAGTGGACCAGGGCTAGTCCTCAGAATGTGAGTTGCCCTGGAATTAATCATTTCTATTGCGGCAAGTGCAACTCTTCACTGAAAATTGTTAACACCATATCACAGCAGTAGCATTTCACTACGTGTCCAGTGAGTCAGTACTTAAACAGTACTAGAGGATTTACCTGGTGTTGGTTGGGACTTTGTGGGGGCTCAGTGCAGAAGTCAGGTGATGCTGCTCCAGTGATAGCTCCCTGGGACCCCCGGGGCCACACTGTTGAGCCGACAGCTCCTCCTGGGGGTGGCGTGAGTGGTGGCTCCTCCCAGGGAGGGAGCAGCGGCTGCTCTGACAGGCCCTGGCTTGCGTCTATGGTGGGGCTGCCCTGCCTGGCCCTGGCCCGTGTCTCCGAGGGCCAAGGGGAGGGATTTGAGGTGGGATGGCCACTTACCTGTGGCTGGTGGCCAGCAATTCAAAGAAGCTAGCCATCTCTTCCTGGTGCTGCTGCCCCCTGTGGTCACTCGGCAGTATAGGTGCCCATGCACTTGCTGCCCTCGGTGGTCATTGCAGAGCATAACTGTCCCTGCTCTCCTACCTCTCCCTTTCCATATGATGGAAAACGGTCCCATTCCAGGCACTTCCTGTTTTCCTGGCACAACCAAACCCTGGCCTTGATTTACGTTAAGATAAGAGGAAGCTGCCTATCAAGTTCGGTGGTCCTAACTCTTACTGTTTAGGAAGAGTTCTTGAACAAATGGACTCACAGACTGACGGACGGACTCATGGGCGGACAGATGCACAAACTCTCTAAAATATATAGAGATATACAGGTAATACAGCTGCTTTTTTTGTTGGGGAAACAATAGAAAAGAAGGTAGAAAGGGTTATAACTGTACAATGGATATTTTCCAGATAGATAAATACCGTAGATACTCTTTAGATTTTCCATAGATGATAATGCCTGGTTTTAAGGTGTTTAAGGCTTTATGCAGTTAAAGAATATGGCTAGATTCTAGTACACTATACACTGTGATCATGCTGTAACCAACCCTGCTGCTTCCATTATAATCTGGAGTGTGAATGGGGCCCTGAGAGAAAAGTCTTATAAATAAATGAAAATGCCTGTTAGCTCCTAAATTGGCTCCTGAGGGAAAGCTGATAGGGCCCTAGTGCGTGTATGTGGGCAAATGTGCTCATTCCCGCACAAGTATGTCTCCAAAGTGTGAAGCAGCTGTTAGCAGGATTACTCCCTGAATCTGACCTCCCTCTCCCCACACTTCCCGTTTGTGGTAGATCCCAGGGCTGGTAAAAGGAGACTATTTCATTACAATGTGCAGGAAGCAGAGCTGCTGCTTTCCAGAAATAGTCTGAATGTGGGGTGCCCTACTGGGAGGTGGATTCCCTTTGCCTTGCTTTGGGGGAGCTGCCCCATGGGTTCTCCTTTGGCCATCTTTCTGCTTAGGACCCCGATCCAGCATGCTGCCAAGTGGCTTCGACTCCCAGGATCTGTGATGGGCATCTCACACTGGCCTTTTTAAGAGGGAGCAAGTGGGGGAGGAAGAGAAGGTCCAGTACACCTGGGAGTGATTATCTGCTGCCAAATTGGGCTTAAGGGAATTCACCTGGATCTTATAAGGAGGGAGACAGCAGCAGGGGATCTTTCTGGGCTGGAGAGTATGTGGAAGAAGGCTGATTGCCAGCAGGGAGTGGCTGTTTGGTGACGAACAGACTCCACCAAAAGAAGAGCTCTAGGGCTATGCCTACGCTGCGCAATAAGATATGCAAATGAGGCACGGGGATGACTATCACCACACCTCATTTGCATACCTAATAAGCCACCATTTTTGCAGCATGGACTTTTGCACAAGAAGGAGCTGTCTACACTGCTAGGAGCTGTCTACACTGCTCCTTCTTGCGCAAAAAAGCCCTCTTGCACAGAGCTGTTCCACCGCTTATTTTGAGGAAGAACATCTTTGCGCAGGAGGGGGTTTTTTTGCGCAAGAAGGAGAAGTGTAGACAGCTTCTGGCACAAAAGCCCATGCTGCAAAAATGGCATCTCATTAGGTATGCAAATGAGGCGAGGCAATATTCATCCCGTGCCTCATTTGCATATCTTATTGCGCAACAATGCATAGTGTAGACATAGCCTAGGAGTGGTAAAAGATGCTGAAGCTGAGTATGAAGGACTATGTGGTGGTGGGGGGGGGGGGAACTTTCACAGAGATTTTTTTCTCCTCTCTGTATGTTGGTCATTTGGCTTCCTCACATTTTGGTCTGTTATCCCTTACAGTGTTGCAATCCCAAAAAGTCTGCTCCTTCAGAAGGTTTTCCCTCTAGAACAGAGAGATCAGCAGATGGGCTGAGTTTTTCAAAGTTACCTTGGCATTTTGATCACCAATTCCCTTCTAATTTTCAGGACAACTGGGCCTCCAAATCCTTCAGGCAGCTTTAATTGTCTCTGGGTAAAAGCCCCATGACTATGGCTGTGTGTCACTTCACCTGTGGTAGGTGCATAAGGAGAGCTGGATTGAGGGAGAAAAGCTTACTGTGCGATCAATATCTCTATTATAGACAAGGGTCCCGCCATCATAAAAAGGTGATTTGTTTGCATTCTAGACCTCAACACGTAGTGGGCATTTCCTGTAACTTCCTCTGTGCTATGCACTAACCCAGTGAGTCAAGACCTAGTCTATTGACAGCTGTGGTAAGATGTAATGATTTTGATTACAGGTGTGATTTCTCCCTCTCCCATATCATTAGAACAGGACCACCCCTGTGGATACAGTCATAGCAATATGACGGTATCTTATGTCAGTATAGCTATTCCCATTATGGAAATAAGTTATATTTGTACTAGAAGATTTACCTGGCATTGCTCTGGTTCTTCAGGGTTGGCGGAGTGGGGGGGGAGGGGGGTGCAGGAGTGAGGGCAGAGGACTGGGGGTCTCAGAATCGGGCGGGGGCA